GGATTTATCCTGCCACGAGCAAATGATAATCTGCAAAAGGAAACCAATATCAAGTTCAAAAACACAAAAACATATGAAGAAAGAAGAAAACAACGAGGAAGATCAAGCCGATACCCGGTCGTGGGAACAAAGACCTCACAGCAGACTTCTCCTACCGGTTCGTTCAGCCTCCATCATGCTCGAGATCCCGAGGTCAAGGCTCTCCCGCCCATGCTCTCGCATGATCGCTGCGAGAGGGCAACCGACGAGGGATCCCGAGGGACATCCACTGGAGCGGCGGCTCCCCAGCAGGGGGAGCGCACGCCCCGACAAAGGGGCCGGGCGGCTCCTCCCGTCCTATGCGCCACCACCACGACGCCTGACGACCCTCCGGCGGTGTCCACCTCTATCCGCCCGCCTCATCCATCCATCACTATCGGGGCCGCCGGCGGCACCGATTGCTCCATCCCCTGGACGCCAACGCTGGTAACGCCCAGCCACCGGCTTGGAGTGGTCGTGGCCATCTCCACTTGATCTCCGGTGGCGCGAGCTCGCTCTCCCCGACACCACCTCCGCGCCGCCGCGTGGCGGGCCCCATGGTCGGGTAGTATCGCGCCTGTCTCGAAGATACCGCCACTCGACAACCGCCGAGGGCGCAGGTTCCACCACAGCGCCGCTCGGATCAGCCAAAGACGGCTCGACGACATCGGCGCCGCCCCCTCGCCTCAAATAGGGCGACGTCGGGCAAGACCATCCGTCCCGCCAATGGCGAGACTCTTCTTGGGCGCCACCAGGGAGTGGCCCGTCCAAAAAACTCACACAAAGGTAAGAGGCGCCAGTCAAAATAGAAAGGTAAAAGGATGAAAAACGGGGAATCACCGGCTTACGGGACGCCTTCGCCGCCGGGAGCGCTTTTGGGGACGAACCCCTGACCTTGCCCCAACTCGTCTCGACGGGCCCCTTTGAGCCCGCCTCGCCCGAGGCGGGGGGGCTCGCCTCCTTACCGCAGGGGGCACGCACACCAGCCGCTTCCACCATCACCACAGGTCGGCGCGGCGGCAGCCCGCTTCCTCCGCCCACCGATCCTCGCCTGTAACGCCGCGGCGGCGGCGGCGGACTCCCCGCTCCCACTAACTCGCTTCCTCCGCCGTGGGAACGCGAAGGGTCCCTACGTGGACGGGTGGGCATCCGTCGACGTGCCCTCATCCTCCAGATGTCCCAATCCACGCCAACGGCTACCTCGCCGCCGCCGCCGCCATCATCATCATCATCATCGCTGCCACGCCTTCCCCTCGATCCCGCGCTTTGCTTCCGTCAGATCTCCTTCTTCTTCTTCGCTCCCCTTGTCTTCTTATCCAGCTTCACCATGAGGCGATTCCCCGCCGCCAGGGCTTTATTCTTCTAAGCAATGGAACCAGATCGCCTTTTAAAGGCTAGCCTCCTCGGCCGGGTCCCAACATCACAAAAACAAATATCGTAACCAGATTCAGTGAAGAAGGAAAGTCACGGGAGATAAGGCTTACAAATTCAAAGAACCTGTGTTCCGGCCAGATTGGGGGATGACCGCACCGGATACACAATGTCTAGGACGTCACCAAAGAGAATCCTTCGTCGGCTCCGTCGCCTCCTTAATGCGCCGCGCCACTTCGAATAAGGGAGCGCCTCGTCGACAAGTACCGCCCCTCGAACGACATCCCGGCATCATCCGACATAGGGAAGCGCCACACCATCATCGGGCGCCACCCTCCTCGTGGTGGTAGGCGCCAATGATCCCCGCCTTTACACCCCTGCTTCCTTCGTAGCTTGAGACCGCAAGAAGGTCGCCAAGGTGCTTCTTGTCTTTAAGCCGACGCCCCAAGTCCACGACTCGAGCCTCTTCGATCAAGCGCCCGGTGTACTTTAGGCGTAGCACTCGGGTCATCCTCGACGAAAACACCATGCGAGTGCCATCCCTTGTTCGAGGTCGCCAGACGCATGAGCGGGTAATCCCTCGACCGGGTAGGGCGCAGATGAATGCTGGCACATCCCATCGGCACATTCACCTCCTTCCCCCCGACCCGCCTCTTCGACAAACTGATGGTGAAGAAGTATCGCCACAAATCAAAGTGGGGATCGATCCCCAGGAAACCCTCACACAGGGCAACAAACGCCGCCATATGTTGAACCCCATTGGGAGTTAGATGTCATAGCCCACATCATAATAATCCAACAAACTCAAGGAATCTATGCGCAGTATGGCAAAACCCCGCCATGGAAAACGGCGAAGACACAACATACCCTTCGGTGGCGCCGCTCACCACACACCAGCAAAGCAGCCACTCCTGATGATGGTGGACGGAGAAGGCCATGGCGACAAGGCCCTCCAAACGCCGGGGGTGATGCTGGATTTACCCCACAACTCCATCGAGGTGATTGGGAGAAAGGGGGGCTCGAGCTCGACGACGGTGGTGGGGGAGCAGGAGGTTGAAGGCGAACTAGCGATGGAGATCCCAGACGCGAAGATGAGAAGGCGGGTACAGACCCCGGGCGAACCCCGTGGTTTTATAGGGGGCGACGGTGCGAGAAGGGCAACCGCCCGCCTCGATCTCCGGCTCTGCCACGCGCCGCCGTCCACACACCCATGGACACGCGCCGCAGCTTCCTATCTTCTCCCACCATAAACCACGGCGGACGGCTCGACTTTCCCAGCGAATCCGGACTCTCTCCCACCCGGGAAGCACGGGTCATAAAGATTTGTTCTCTCTTTTGCCCGCCTAGGGCCCGGAGGCTCAAGGGCCGCCCAACCAAGGACGGGTCCGCGAATCGACCCAAAATCAAGGGCGAAACATTATCGAGGTCCCTATCCGCGGGTCAAGCCCCGCTTAGGCAAGTCTTGAATAAAATCCCGCGAACGGGATGCCACGATCCAAATAACAAGAAAACCTAAATCTTACGATCTTACTCATGAGGGCCCACGCAAGGGCTCGGGACTACACCCACCGGCTGCGCCAGACTCACCCTCCGAAAAAGTAACTCCGACGAGATCGAAGAAACCCCCGATGATTCAACCCGAATCACCCAAGGGCTCGGGGACTACTGTCGGGGACCTAATACCGGGTACCCCAAAGAGGAGGAATCAATGAACCATCGAACGGTAAGGACTCCCAAAAGCGCTGTTACATCTCTTGCCCGACCAAGCGGAAGTCTTGTTCCGCCTCGCCCGAGCGCCCATGTGCCCTTGGGACCCGCTTACCTCGCCTGACGGTCAAGGGAGACTCCGCCGCCCGACGGTTGAGGGCGACTCACCGCTGACGGCCGGGCTCGGCTTCCACCCGACCACGGGACGACTCCGCCTCGCCCGACGGCCGGAGGGTGACTCACGCCTCCTCGACCAATTCGGGCTCGGCTTCCCCCACCACCGGGCTGGGGGACGACTCCCGCCCGACGACCGGAGGGCGACTCACCGCCTAACGGCCGGGCTCGGCTTCACCCGACCCCCGGGGATGCGCACTCACCGCCGACCCCGAGGGCTGGGCTCGGACCCGCTCGACGGCCGGGACAACTCCGCTTCGCCCGGCGGTAAAAACTAGGTTTTACCTCATCCGAACGACCAATGACGAATCTCGCCGCCTGATATCCGAGGTCGCCCAGGGCCTCACCGACGAACCGCGCCTGCACTTTCATGATGACGATTGCGGGTAAGACAAGACGTCGGGTCAACCGCAGCGTTAGACGCCATGCCCCGCACCCTCGCAGGGAAGTACCGTCAGATGTGACCAGCGAGCGCTTGACCCTCCCGGCGCAAGGCGAGCTCGAATAAGGTTGTAGGCGCCGCCTCCGCCCCACAAGGTCGGCACCGCCACCTCCCGACGAAGAACCCGACGCAGACATACGACAACCACTACGCTCCAAGGGCAAACCAACAAATATCATACCCCCCGACTTCACACGGGTGGGCTCGCAAATCTCGTCCGACACGCCGCCATAGGGGGCGGATGGGACGCACTCCTTGCTAAACAAAGGCCGTGGCGTGGCCCACGACGGTCTGTCGCCTCAATCTCGACACGATCCGCCATGATGGGCGCATCAAAGGGGGGAAGAAGGAAGGACCGGGTTCCTCAAGGACCTTCTATGCTCTTAGTGTTTTCTTCTTCCCCGTCTCAAAAAAACCCGCTCCCCTTGATCTATAAAAGGAGGCGGGGCTCCCCACTAAGGGATCGATCAACCGATTCTCAACAAAGTTAGCACACACACACACGCACTACACGGCCGAAGCGCCAACAGAGCTCTTGGCGCCCTTCCAATCACTCCATCGTGGGACTTGGGGTCTCTCCTCTCCCAACCGCTTGTACCCCTACTACGAACCTCATTCGGTGCTAATAACACAAGCAGCAACAGACTGGACGTAGGGACATTCAGCCCGAACCAGTATAACCCTTGTGTCCTTTAGCGCACCATCCGGGCCTAACGCGCATCAATTACAAATTTACTCGCCGGTGTTTGTTCGAAACACCGACAATCAGGATTTATAAAATTGAGTGCTTTGGACATTGCAATAAAGACCTTGTCGTTCACCCGATCAGGAACACCCTGTGCTGATCAAATAATTGTATCAGGCACCACATGGCTTCATAAACAATAGAAGGATATATTACCATCTTTATTCCAAATGGCAAAAGTAAAACCAAATCTGAGGAACACTGTGTGTGTATACCAGTTAGCACCCAAAAAACACCTTTGCATTTTTTTTCATTTCTGCTACACTGCTGGACCTAAAGGGATAAAAATCGCTGGACTTGGAAAATGCAACTATAAGCACTGCATTGCTCAACCTAAATTTGCACAGAAAGTGGTTTACAATGAAATATAAGGTAAGAATTTGAGCATATGAAGCATTCTCGTATATGGATCTAAATATGCTCCTTCCAGAAGATATGACAAGAAAGGAAAATAACTGGCAAACTACAAGCTCTCTAATGTTGATGAGATGGCAAAATGTCTTCTACACAGAAACTAGTATAATCAACACATTTAACTTGTACCTGCTTTTTCATCCATTCTGAAACGGTTAAGCCATCTTGAGCTTCAACATAAGGTTGACCACCAACCATCGCTGGCAGAAGTCCAAGTGCAAACTTCACCTTCTCTGGCCAGGTAAGTGTTTCATTGTTTCTCAGTAAGGCCCATATCCCTGTTAAAAGCACAATAGTGTTATATAGTGAATCATAGTATGGCATCAATTAGCAGAGTTATGGTCAATGGTAATGATATACTAATAGTGTCCATATATTAGCAAAATGAGAGAACCTGTTGCAATAACTCCAACTTACGTATATTCTTACCGTTTACAGGTGGGCAAAGTTTCTGGGGAATCAAACCGGCTGAATTCTTTTTTTGAAGGTTAACCGGTTGAATTCTCCTGGTTTGTTTGGCATGGCGAATATCATCCAGTGTTCTTTCCACTGCAAACGATCCTCAATCCCAAGCTCGCCAAAAAGATGCTGCATGTTGGGATAAGCTCCAACTTAAACCAAAAATCCAAAATACATGGTTACATACACGCACATAATAAGTGGCGTATATGCCAGGAAGGGAATGGTAGCAATCCAGTGCTCATGTGAACAGAAGAACGTCTATTCGACTATGGCATTATGGATACAATGGTCTATGGGTCAACATGGTTTATGTAACATTGAAACATGTGCTGCTGTATGTTTTAGTAGTCTGCAAACTTTTCAGGTTATTTTGCCACTACTAGTAACTTAACAAATTCCTTTCTCAATAATGATTTTGCACAGATATTTACAAATTGTCCTTGAAAGAAACTCTCATGACAAGGGAAAAGTAAAAAAGCATGATACAAGGAAAGAGTGCTTTAGACATTTGTGCAATGGTGTGCCTCAACAGTTTGTTAATTAATATGTGTAGATCATATTAACTGTATTTTTTCTAATAGAAATAATCAAGAACATCAGATATCATGAAGAGAACCTCAAGGACCAGAACTGTAACTTACAAAAGATATGAAGCCCAGTCTCGTACTAATCTCCATCTTCGTCCTTCCAAGCAGCTACCTATCAATGCATAAAAAAAATCATAAAGGAACAAATAATGAAAACAGTGAATGAGAGCAATTCAGAGAGTGGTAAACAGTCATGCAAGTATCTAGCAGACCTTTCCTCCCAAAACATCTGTTGCCTCAAGCAATATGGCTTTATGACCAGCATCTGCCAGATACTACGCCATTGATAGACCAGCCAATCCTGCAAAAGTGACATCACAAATTAATAAATCTAAATGCCAATTAGAGTTTCACTCGAAGTTCCCCAACTTACAAAGGAAAATAACATCTGTGAAAGCATCAATCATGAATTACATCAGACCTGTGACAGCAATCACGACCTGCAACGGTTTACTGGGGCGTTAGCTGTTTCTATAAAATGAAGAGAGCTGCCCAGCTTCCAAATAGTTTATCGTGCTTTCTAGTGGAGGTCTTGGAAAATCCTTGCAGACAACCTGCAGAAAGGCAATCAATTATGATTTCGCAAGAAACATAGTGAAAATATCGAAAAAAATTAAAAACAAAAAGATGAACCTGCAAGGCAGCATGTCTTCGGTGTGATCTCCTTCCTTTATTCCTTAAGATTTTTCACGGCAAAGCTTGTATGGTGACTACTTGCAAAACATCTCTCCGAGGAGGAAGTTGTCCCGCAAAATGTCTTGCTTGGCTAGCTCCAGTAATGTTCATAGATGACAGGAAGCCAGTGTCCATGTTGAAGCAACTCTTGATAAAGTGTAGTCAGCTCTGCTTCAGCCAATAGGCACAGACAGACTACTGCAAATTCAAGAGGAGCCATTAGACCCATACTTCATGAAGCCATTTCTCGTATAGGCCTGCAGAGTATCGTGAGTAAATTGATCCAGGTGGCTAAATACTACTAATGAAGTTATTCGATGCTGAGAACAATTGATGGATTAATGAGGCAGAAAAAAATGGCATGACCCGGACCTCGTTCTAGACAATTTCGATTTTCCTAGCACCACCATCTCAAATTAAACAAGAGGTATCTCCCTTCTAGGCTCTACACTCTGTACTATCTCGTCCAGCCCCTACGCCACAATTTCTATCATACCACTGCGCCCAATAATCGCAGACTGCTCCAAGCCAGTCTCAGGCCAATTAGAAATCTCCGATGCCTTCGAAGCCTAAAAGCTCTAAGAAATCTCCCATTTCCACTGCCAGTTTACTAGTAAATGAGAAGAGTCACCGTGCACGGCGCTAGGCGCCCCATGCCCCCATCCCCCATACGGAACCGGATCGCGCGCTGCCCGCGTGATTAAACAGGAACACAGTGTGAAGCAGCAAGGGACTCCGGTTGGCGAGAGAGAGAGAGAAGCGGAGGGGGGCTACTCACCGGAGGAGAGGAGAGCTGGAGAGGAGGAAGGGAGGAGGCGGACTTGGCGAGGCAGGGGCAGTGTCGTGGAGGCGGGGGAGCCCAGTTGCGAGGAATTGGGTGTGTACGTGTGCGATGAGGAGAGGACTCGAGGAGAGGCGACCTCCGCATTTGGTTGGGGGCGGTGGAAAGGGACAAGCGCACGACGAGGCGGGGTGAGGAGGATCAGAGGATGTGTGGCCTTTTGGCGCCTGGTGCGCTCTACGTTTCCGTGGTATATACTGCTCACAGTCACACCGAACGCGGATTGCAGCCGGGGGACGAAGCAGTACGAGCGACTGATAGCTACGTGGGACGCGATCCAAAGCGCACCGGGTCATCGACGAGGATGAAGACGGCGGTTGGCAACCGGCGACGCAGAGGAGCTGCAGAGAACGGTGGCGCTGGGACGCGGCGCTGGGGCTAGGCACTGGCGGCAAGCCGGTAACGTGGCGCTGGTGCTGGCCGACCGGGCACTAGCGGCGGCGCGACGCAGGGGCCGGGTGCTAGAGGCCGGGGAGGCGCGTGCGACGTTGCCAACATGAGGACATGAGGTTGGACTGTTTTTTTTTTTCCTTTTGAGGAACATGAGAGTTGGACTGATGGACTTCGAGACCGGGCTGTTTGGTTGGTGCCGTATTTTGTGTCAAACCTTCGGTAAAATGTAGCTGCTAGAGAAAGTTTGGAGAGCAAAATTGAAACCACATTTATGACAAAGTTCGGTAAAAAATAAGTCTATGACGTGTAGGACATGGTACTAAGAAAGTGTGGAACATCGTTGTTGTGGCCGCAAACCAAACAGCTGCCAGAAAAAATATGGCATGACTAACCTGTGGCATGGCACGTTCTGATCACGAACCAAACAGGCCAGTGCCTTACTCATATGGGCCTATCGCCCAAACGCTCCAGCGAATGGATTCTTTTTTTTACAACAAGAGAATGAATTCTTTGTTTTTTAATGTCTTTATAAAGTCTAAAATTTATATAATAAACATTTATATCCATAATAGTCTTGTATCTACTATTAATAATTTATAAAATATTTTATAGTGTTTAAAAAGACATCGATTCAAGTATCTTGGGATTACAATTGTCTTTTCATAGCTAAATGTTATACACGTGTCGTCCCAAAATATTTAGGGACCGTGTTCCCTCAATGTACCAATCGTCTCGAAGAGTTAGACTCCCTAACGAACTGGGATCTTAAATTGTCAATCCACGTTCCACGTATCCCGTTCCACATACCTCCGTACCGGTAACTTTTGTGACTTTGATACCGCTGCCTCCCCGAAAGTAGTTTTTTTTTCCTTTAATGACATGTGCTCCCATGTCGTGCCTGTAATGCACATCTAGGTGTGCGCATTAGGATTGCACATGCGCTCAAGGCCAGAATTTACTTCCCCTGCCACCCGCTCACCGTCGATCTCTTGTTTCTCCGACAAAATAAAAAGGAAGCCCATTAGGCCTATAACACCACACCGACTACGACAAGAGTGGACTCAACAAAATGCCTAGCCCCATTGCCTTACCCTTATCGATCGAGCCTAGGTAGCAACTGTTGATCCTATGGCTCAGCCCAAAATTGTGCTAGTTACTTACTCAGGATCAATTGAGCCTGCAGCCCGCTTAGCGGACAACCGCGGACCGATCCTCCGTTCACTAGATGGCGTGGCCACCTTTGTAGTTGTAGCCATCGTTATTGCTGTCTGCACCGCCGTCGTGCAATACCGGCAAGGAGCATCACCACCAATGCCGCCACCTCACTGGTGACGGCACCGCCAACGCCTCCCCGCCACCAACCACTGCCAACGCCGATGCCGTCGCTTCACCGAACACCCCAGGGGCGGACCTAGTACACAAGAGTGGGGGCACATGCCCCACTCAAAATCTGGGTTTCCAAAAAATATACATTTTTGTGTAGCTACAGAGGTCCATTAGTAATAGGCCGCCACTCCACGCTCTCCGCTCTGCATCCCAGCAGTTTCGTTGCGGGTTCGAAGGGGACAAGTTTCTGCAGTAGGGGATCTACGTCTACCTAGGTGATCAGGTGTGGTCCTGTGGTCCGCCATTGGCGTATATGTATTACATCGTGTAGATGGTTTGATTGTATAGTTGATTGACAAAAGAAGCCTATGTGTCTCTCATCTATCCAACCGGCAGACATCGTGTCCAAAACTTGATTCCCTTGTCAAAGGATAAATAAAACATCTTGTTTATTGTGTATAGGAATTGGTTAACAAAATGAAGTAAAAAATATTGTTAAGAGAAAGGGGATCATGAAAATATGTAGAGAACTGCTCCGGTACTCCTTCTAAAAACTGCACATCTTAAAACAGCCTATTCAATATGGCGCAAGCCTTGTCACCTGTCGACCGGTACCCGAAGTCGAGCCCGCCTAGCCACTTACGCTCACGGCTTCTCCAGCTGTCATCAGATTCCTGTCAGTCTTCTTCCTTCTCTCCGTTGTTGGCCGCCCGCCCGCCCCTATAAAAAAAGGGTGCGGACACCCTTGCACCGATAACAAGAATCCACTGTCCACCGCCATAGAGAAGAATCCACCGTCCACCGCCGGTCCGCTGCCATAGAGAAGTCGAGGGAGAAGGAGATGGGCAGCTCTGAGCCACCTCGTCACCTGTGGACTGGTGACAAGGTCGGCATCGGCTTAGCCGCTGCCGCCTTCGTAGCTGTACTTGTCCTAGCTGCCTACTAACGTGGCGTCCACGACCACAGCGATCGACTTGGCGCCTACAGGCACCAGCCACTGCTAATGCCACCGCTTCGCCATACACCCAGGGGCGGTCCCATTACACAAGGAGCGGGGCACGTGCCCCACTCATCGCCCCCCTCCTCTCTGGCTATACTTATGTACCATGTACTTATTCTATATGCTAATTAAAGAGGAAAAAAGGTTGATACTAGATAGAATGTTAAGAGCAGCTCCAACAGCTTGGCTATTCTTGTTGTGGAGGTTATTTTAGAATTTGACTTTGTAAAATAGAAAACTGGGCATCCTTTGATTTTCGGTGGCCATATAAAGCCAATCACGTATGCTCGATATCTGACTTTGTAAAATAGCAAGGTTGTTGTGGACCTCTTTTTTTTTTTAGAAGTTTTCTATTTTACTAAATTGTTAAACAATGGAATTTGGCTACTTATTTTAGCTAAACTGTTAGAGTTGCTCTATTGTTTTCTTGGCTTTTCCATTTTTAGTAAGAAAAGATAACGAGAAAACTAGACCGAAGCAGCAAAATTTTCTATACATTAGTTTCTACTAACCAATTTGGCCCCTCCTTATTTAATCCCCACGCTCCGCCGCTGCTGTCAATAGAACAGATACGTACGGAGTAGTTATTTGCACGTACCACCACACCCTGGACACCCCATCCTTCATGCAGAATTCACGCGACAGGAAGGGCGAGTGAGACCGTTTGGTTTGAACTGGCAGCCAGCAGCCTGCCGGGGAAGTTTGAACGGTGGTTGGATTGGAGCAGCCGAAATGGCGGGTTAAATGAGGATTAGGAGCCCATCTGCCACCGTGCCAGCTCCCTTATTAGCTTCACTTGCTCTCAAAGCCTCAAGAAGAACCACTGTGCCAGCGCTCTGAACTGGCTGAACGTCATCATATTCGTGAACGGTGAGTTCTTTGATCCATCGCCACAGACCACACTGCATTTTCCGGCCTTCAGTTTCAAGGTGTACTTCGGTTACATGAACAGTTTGCCATGTTCTGCATGATGATGTGCAGAGACCATGATGGCTGTGGTTCATGAACTGGGCAATCCTCTGCTAGGGTTTGAGAAATTCAGCAGCAATGAGGTTGATTTGGTAAGTGCACTGTGCACCGGCTACGACACTGCAAAAATTATATTCCTTGGATTGGATTCTCATGCATGCATTGTGCGGATACAGGAAAGTCTGCCCCTGGAAGAGGTTTTCGAGCAGCTCAACACATCCCGCGGCGGGCTTTCGTCGTCAGATGCTGCAGAACGCCTGCAGCTGTTTGGTGCGAACAGATTACAAGAGAAGCGTGTGAGTTCACCATTTTGGATCCCCATTATTTGCATCCTGAATTCCTGTTATATTTTTCCCATGATCCCTTTTCCTTTTATGTATGTTTTATGGCAGGAGAATAAGGTCCTGAAATTCCTCAGCTTCATGTGGAACCCTTTGTCCTGGGTGATGGAGGCAGCAGCAGTCATGGCATTGGTCTTAGCGAATGGCGGCGTAAGTTCTCTGACGTTCTAAAATCTGGTCTTTGACTTCTGGTTTACCCGACAAGTCTCGGAAAATGTTACCTGACATACTAGTTTCAGTATCGGCCACATGATATAAAACTTCAGCATCTTCATCTACCTTTTGCTCAGAGCCAGGGTCCTGACTGGGAGGATTTTCTTGGAATCGTCTGTCTTCTGATTATCAACTCAATCATCAGCTTCATTGAGGAAAATAATGCTGGCAACGCCGCTGCAGCTCTCATGTCTCGCCTGGCACTGAAAACAAAGGTTTGTATATAAACAAAAACTGTAGTATTTCAGTCAGATCTTGCTGTGTTCATACATGGGTGTGATGTGATCTTCAAGTTTTCAGAGATGGGCAATGGCAGGAGCTGGATGCTTCTATCTTGGTACCAGGAGATATTGTCAGCATCAGGCTTGGTGATATCATTCCAGCGGATGCACGCCTGCTAGAGGGAGATCCTGTGAAAGTTGATCAGGTAAGTACCCAATTCACTTTAGCAGCTAGTGTTTCCATATAGCAGTAAGGCTGGAGCTGCTGGTATGTTTGCTGGGTCAACATGTCAGCTTGATTGATCTGCCCAAGTGGTTTTCCTTCCACAATGCAGTCAGCTCTAACTGGGGAATCCCTTCCGGTAACCAAAAGGACCGGTGATCAAGTGTTTACCGGTTCAATCTGCAAACATGGAGAAATTGAAGCTGTTGTCATTGCAACCGGCATCCACTCTTTCTTTGGAAAGGCGGCTCATTTGGTGGACTCCACAGATGTTGTTGGCCATTTCCATAAGGTGAATTGTCAGATATTCACAATATGATCTAGGGTATTGAAACTCTAGTTGCCCATGAATGCCTGTGGTTTAACCTAGTCCTACAACTAAAATTTCAGGTTCTAACCTGTATAGGGAATTTCTGTATATGCTCCATTGTGGTAGGGGTAATTCTTGAGGTTATTATCATGTTCCCAGTACAGAACCGGTCATACCGAAATGGAATCAACAATGTGCTTGTTCTTCTGATCGGTGGGATACCTATCGCGATGCCGACCGTTCTGTCAGTCACTCTTGCAATAGGTTCTCATCATTTATCTCAGCAGGTGTTCTTGGGGCATTGCTGTCATCTTTCTTCAGATAATATTTAGTTGCTAATGCATCATTTGTCCTTAAGTTTGTTGTACCATTTTGCAGGGTGCTATCACTAAAAGGATGACAGCCATTGAGGAAATGGCAGGAATGGATGTTCTGTGCTGCGACAAAACTGGAACTCTTACTCTCAACCATCTTACAGTCGACAAAAACCTAATCGAGGTAACTTCTATGATAAAATAAAAAGGTACAGTGTATTTGCTTTGGTGATAATTAGCTCAGCTGATTCATCATTCGTTAACTTCAGGTGTTCAGTAGAGAAATGGAAAAGGACATGGTAATTCTTTTAGCTGCAAGAGCGTCAAGAGTGGAAAATCAAGATGCGATTGATATGGCCATCATTAACATGCTAGCTGACCCCAAAGAGGTTCTGAATTTCTAAGCACGTTTGCAGTGGTTCATGGATGATATCTGTTCCTTTTCTTCCCTGAATGACGGGGTCCTATCTTATCTGCTATTCTGGCCTTGTCAGGCACGCGCCAACATCACTGAAGTTCACTTTTTTCCGTTCAATCCTGTCGATAAGAGAACAGCTATTACATACCTTGATTCCAACGGCAATTGGTTCCGGGTTAGCAAAGGTGCTCCAGATCAGGTACTCCTGTAGCAACTCTGCACTGTATCCCAGTGCATTAACCCCAAACCTTCATACAGTTGTTTATACGGGTCTGTCAAGATTCAGAGCTCCTTTGTTGCTGTGGCGACTAAATGCTACCCTTCAGTTATCTCAACTTCTGATGTTGTTCATCTTCAGATCTTGAATTTGTGCTACAACAAAGATGACATTGCTGAAAAGGTGCAGATTGTAGTCGACAGGTTTGCCGAGAGGGGCCTCCGTTCACTTGCAGTTGCTTACCAGGTACCACATGGAATTCAAGCTAGCAGATTTTGTTGGTCATCCCTGCAAATTGAACACAGAAGTATCAGTTGCTACTTCCTAACAATCACTCTGTGACTTGTCTCAGGAGATACCAGAAAGATCAAGGCACAGCCCCGGTGGGCCATGGATCCTCTGCGGTCTTCTGCCGTTGTTCGATCCGCCGCGGCACGACAGCGCCGACACCATCCTCAGAGCGCTCGATCTTGGCATCTGCGTGAAGATGATCACCGGTGTGCATGCACATGGCCATGAACTTTGTTCTCTGCTAGTTTCTGTAGCGTGATGGAAAGAACCTGAGCGCAGCTCCGTCCGTCCGTGCAGGTGATCACCTGGCCATTGCAAAGGAGACCGGCCGGCGCCTGGGGATGGGCATGAACATGCACCCGTCGGCGTCACTGTTCGGCCGGCGCGAGCGCGACGGCGAAAGCGCCGCGACG